AATACATATACAATATATATATATATATATATATATATATATATATATATTGTAGAACATGTCAATTAAAGAGAACGAAGAGAAAAATAGAATAAGTCAATGATACTATCATTTACAATTGGAGCTTCACAAAATAGGGGAATGGAATGGGAAAAATACTACAGTATTATATATAAGCAATGAACAGTAGTGCAGTACTAGTATTATTAGCAAAAAAAAATGGAGAAGACAGAAGCATAGAGAAAAAAAAAAGATGAAAAATTCACTTGAAAATTCTTGAAGCACTTGAAAAATCACTTCAAACAATCTTTCAAAATTTGATGGGTTTGGATGAGATTGTTTTATGAATTTGGTATTTATAGATAACACTAGAAAGTCCTTCAAAATCCCTCTAATATAACAATCCTTTAAAATCCTTATATTTTTGAATACCAATGGATTGTTTTTAAGTTGTAAAAAATCTCAAATGAATACCAATAGATTTTAATAGACTCTTTAAAAAATCTTGAAAATCCAGATTAAATATCACTGTATTGTTTTTAAGTGACATAAAATCCTGATTGAATACCAACGTACTTTTTTATTCAAAAAAAAATCTTTTAAAATCTTATGAAATCCTAAACCAATACACCCCCTAAAAGTTGTAAGTATGAATGAAAATACAAGAGTTTCAACCTTCTAATTTTTTGAATTCTTACAAAAAGCATAGATTTAAAGTTTTCAAATCAAATAAAGAAAAAGTGTCCTTATAGCATAGGTCTAGCTGTATAACAATTATGACTGACTAATATCTATATCATAAATTATTGCCAAAAAAAAAAATTTAATCATGTGAATTTGTCCAAATTCTGTCCACCTAAATTTCCAATTTCTTTTTATATTGCACTTGTGAATTTTGGGGCAATAGCGTATTAGTAAAAAAAATATGCCTTTCTGCCCAATAAATAATTAATAATTCATGTGATGGTGCTACTCTCTAGGAAATGAAGGAATCCATGACCAAAGTGAGAATGATTTTGCAGCAAAGATAGAACAGGAGGTAAATTACCTGAAGATATATAATTACTATTAAAGAAACTGAACGAGTTACATATTACAGAAAAATCTAGCAACAAGTGGCTAAAACTATATTAGGCAAATGCATTGTGGGTTCCATGTTTGGATCAGGGAGATCTATTCAAATACAATAGCACAACACTAACAACCCTTATCAATTTTGGTCAATATGTTAACAGAATTTGTAGGAATTCAAGAAAATTATAAGGCTGGAACTCATATATTTTTATTCATACTTGAACCTTTAAATACACGAAACACGATTGAAAACTGATACAAAATCCTACTCATAAACATAAAATTAAATGACAAATGTAAATACTCATAAAAGTGTAAGAGCACCTATAATTCATATAATTAAAATTCATAACTGTAAGAATTCTAATAATGCTCCATTAATCTGAAATAAACTCAAATAATATATGCTGATTCAGATTCTCAACAGAATTACTCTACTTAATACTTAATAAAAGCTGAAAGCCTGATGTCGATACATATCAACTTAAATTTGATAATGATACTGTTGAATATACTAAAACATATTGAGATTTGGCAAAAGCAAAAGTGCTTAAAAATGTAATGTGTTGGATTCTCATAAAAAAAAAAAAAAAAAAAAGATGTTGGATTCTCATGGCTGCATAGGATGTAGAAAACGATGTTCGACTAATAATAGCTGGCATGCGGAAGCCTATTTTTCTCTGTTAGTCCACACAACAAATAATGTACTGATCACAAGACTTGTATATGAAAGAAATATTTGAATTCTGATGCTTGAGGAATGGAATGACTTGTGTTGATTGAGCACCGAAGGAATTGTGTTTATACAGTTGCCAAGGTCCTCTGATATCCAATTTCACAATGAGCCATGATGGGGTCTATTGTGGGACAAAGGATCACATGGTATTGTCTCAGTGATCATTGTCAAGGATTAGGAAGTTCAATGTGGGTGCACACTAATGAACTACTCTTTATTTATCAACTAATATACACCACACATTCTGAGAACCACCTGAAAACCTCATGTTTGTTCATGCCTAATGATACAGCTAATCCAATGGTCGATATGCTTTAGAAATAATATTATTGTATATATATAGCTACCATGTACCATATACTATATGTATATATATATATATGTGTGTGTGAAATATACAATTCCTTTCAAGTGGGGAAAACTGTTAACCTTCACACCAGAAGCTGGGACAGTTTTGTCTAAACTACTATAACACGTTATTGATAAGTGCTATGATTTCATTAAGTTTATGACTTAGATTGAAGCACTTATCTTAATTTTCCTTGCTTTAGACCTTGTTTTTAACTCAAAACATCTCTAAAAGTATTAGGTGATCACATTTTGTCTTTGAATCATGTTTTTAGGTAACTTACAAGTATTTGGTTGTTATTTTGTAGTTTAGGATAAAGCTAGGAAAAAAGGAAAGAAGTCAAGCACAAAGTGGTGAATTTGAAGTCGAAGGAATTTTTGGTTTAAGTCCCCAGGCTAAGCCCCAGATCCACGCTTAGCCTTAGCATGGCAGAGAATCCCTGGAACAGAATTTTGATCCCCACGCTGAGCGTGGAACTGAGGCTGAGTATGGGAGTCCCAGAACCTCATTTCACTCCAGACTTATCCCCAAGCTTAGCGTGGCTCTCACGCTTAGCGTGGATTGTGCTGACATGTCATTATTCACATAAGACAAAAGCTTTTATGACCTAAAAGTGGGATTTTCGAGGAGAGAAGGAAGGAGGATCATTCTTGGACTTTGTGTGGCGGCTGGAGAGCTCTGGAACCTTCAAGATCAAGCTTCTTCCTTTCTTCATTATTTGTAGAGTTCTACATGTCTATGTGTAGCTAAACTCACCCTTGTTGGGGTTTGATGTAACTAAACCCATTCTCATGTATAAACTCTAAGCTATCAATCTAAGTTGTTATTCAGTTTTATTGCTCTTTTTCTGTGCATAATGTTTGTTATGACTTGATCACCCTTAACTTGAACTTAAGGTTTTTAAGAGATTGAGAAATGATTTTAAACCTTTGACTTGAAATAGAGCAGCTAATGGTGCTTATTGCTAGAGATAGAGTAAATGTCATTGGTCTTTCTTAAGCTCTTGTTTTTAAAGCTGGTTTCTTGGTTAAACTGTGCAAGAGATTGATAGTTTAAGTTAGAAACTTAGATGCCAACTTGTAAGAGATTAGGGTTGGTTACTTTTGAGAGTGATTGATAAATTCTGAATAATAACTATTGTGAACTTAGTGATAAGCATGAGAGGAAGGTTTAGTGAAGTCAAACCCCAACAATTTATTAATATTGCATTAGAATCAAGTTTTGCACTCTAAGTGTTTACCAAAATACCAAAAAGAATTGTTATTGCTTGTTTACATTATTTACTACAGTAAATCAAACTCTTATTGTTTTTTGGTAGCTTAGTTAGTAT